AGAGTTAGCTCTCTGAGACTATTCTTCCCAGCATCTCTAACCCCATCCCCTACAAAAATGCTATGTTCCAAAAAATAGTTGCTTTCATAATTTTTTATTAAGTCAGTACTTACTACTTGCATTATTTTGGCCACACAAAAAATTCACAGCTAAGCCAAGTAGTGTACTATATTTCTTTTCTTTTAAATCTCTTTTTCCTGGAGGTAATAACTGATTTTTCTAGTTTTCTATGTAATTATTACTAATTCTTCCACCTAAATTGGCTGACTTTATTATAAAACCCTCTCAGTGTGGTCACATACCTCATATAATGTATTATATCCATGTTTTTTCCTTAGAGTCATCTCTTGTAGAGAACTTTGGGATTTATTTGAAATGATTGCTTGCTAGGCCTGCTACATAAATTTCATCCTGAAAATTCCATTCCCTGATCTTTGTGTTGAATTTCTGACTCCCTTGTTGCCGTGTCTTTTCCACTTTATTTATTCTCTTATTTAGGTGGAACTATCCCTACAGTAGCTTCTTGAGAAGAGGGGGGACATATTTTAAGTCTCCTCATATAATTTTATGGTAGAAATAATTTCTCATCAGAATTTTGAAGATATATTTGCCTGTCTTGTTTCCAGTTTTTCTATTAAGAAATCCAACACCACCGAGATTCCCAATACATAATATATAATCTCTTTTCTCTTTCTGATAACATGTATGTGCATTTGCTTAACTCTAAAGCTCTGAAATTTCACAATAATGTTTTCTGCTGTGGTCTATTTTTATTCCTTGTAGTACTGCATACTTTATGAATTCCCTTGTGTCTGAAGACCTGGGTCTGCAAAATTTTCTGAAAACAAATTTGTTACATCTCTCCCCTCAATTTTCTCTGAATGCACCTGAGAAATGTGGTCCCCCTCCAAGATGACAAATGGGTTTTCAAGTTGTTAGTAATTCTCTGGAGTTTATTGTCGCCCCTGCTATCTTTTTGAAGGAGGTGATTCTAGAATAGTGAAACTCTGAACCTCAGCTCCCATTTGATCTGGATGTTGTGGAGGCAGGAAATTTACTACAGAGGGCCTTATTCCTCTAGTTTTCTCCTTTAGAAACACTATCCAACATTTACACCATCCCCATACCACTCACTATTTATAAGGAAGGAAGGAAGGGAAGAAGTAAGGGAGGGAGGAAGAGAAGAGAGGAGGAAGGAAGGGGAAAAGGAGGAAGGGAGGAAAGGAGGGAGGGAGGGAGGAAGGGACAGGAAAGGGAGGGAGGGAGGGAAGAGGGAAGGAAGGAAGGAAGGAAGGAAGGAAGGAAGGAAGGAAGGCAGGCAGGCACACAGGGAGGGAGAAACTGATGACCTTCTGTTTTATGTTAAACTTTACATGGTATCTGTGGCCATGCGTGGACTTATTTTTTTTTTCTTTATGTGAGTTTCTTCCATAAAATTGTTAAGTTCCTTTAGGAAAGGTAGAATATATTATTTAGGTTTATATTCTCAATGTTTAGCGGGGTGTCTGTGGCCCCTGGGCAGTAAATAAACAGGTATTGAAGACTTGTCCAGGTAGCTTTGCTGTCAGCTCCTCAATGCTGCACCCTTGATTTCAGATACAAGTGCCTTATTTGCATCACCTTCTCTCAGGCTATAGAATGAGCAATGGTGATTATCATCAGGTTCTTCTTTTCTAAGGACAATTGCCAGGCCAAAATACATAGTATGTGTTTATTTCAGAAGCAGGTACAAAGGAGAACATGATCATTTGATATCAGATATAGGTCAGTGATTCTCAAACTAGAAGGTCTCCAATTGTTGTTATTGTTTAGTGTAATAATGTTTAATTTCAGGGCACCTGGATGGCTTAGTTGGTTGAGTGTCTGACTCCCAATTTTTGCTCAGGTCATGATCTCAGGGCCATGGGATCGAGCTCCACATCGGGCTCCACGCTGAGTGTGGAGCCTGCTTGGATTTCTCTCTCTCTCTCTCTCTCTCTCTCTTTCTCCCCCTCCCCCCATCTGCCTCCCCAACCTACACGTGCTCTCTCCCTCTCTCTAAAATGATAAAAAAAAATTATATTTAATTTCAATTAACTTTAAAATACTGTATGGCATAAAATGCTTATGTCAAGGAATGGTTAAGTGTTACAAAATTAGCTCAAATAATAAATCTGAAATTGTGTCTAAACACCCTATGCACTAATATCACAAAAAGAAAATTTGGACATTTTACAAACATTTTCCAAAATGGCTACATAATTAGAAGTACATAGAATCTCTTGTAATATTAATGCAATGGTGTTTGAACACATGCATTTAAGAAGTGAAAAATCCCCATGGAAATTCACTTCATAAAATCAACACCCTGCAATGACCTATACTTTTCCAGATCCTTCATCCAAATCCTCAGCTGCTGAGCTCATTCTGAATGGAATTGCACAAAAAAGATTACAAAAAATATTAAATTGAAATTTGCAAAATAACTAGTATTTAGAAATATCATTTTAAGGAAAGCAGCCTGCTGAGGAGGCTGATGGGGAAAATCAGGTCTTTTACAAAGACTTCTCCATCTATAGGATGGGTTCCAGTCAATTCAGATGATTTAGAAAATGAGGTATGCTCAGATGCAATTGATAATAATCCAACACTACTTTTTGTTAATACTCTTCAGCCTTTAGATCGTAGAGGCAGGTTATAGCTATAAATCTTATAAATAGAATTTAAATAGGAAGTGTGAATAAGAAAGTCTGGAGAGAGAAATTTTTTAAAAATCTATCAGACTGTAGGATATGGAATGAGCACTCAAAATGTAGTGATGCTAGTCATAATGATAATTATGAAATTTTATGTCTTAAAAATATATAGACACTGTACATTCACAAGAATGATTTGGAAATGTCCAAAGAACCTAGATTCGCAGGACAGGAGTTAATGTTTTGTGTTCAATCTACCTAATTTACAATCTCTTCTCGCAACTAGATGGCCTCAGAACTTGTTGAACTATCTTCCTTTGACATTATAAAAACACTTACCTATTTGCCAAGGTTAAGTGAAATAAACTAATATTATGATAAGGTCCTAGGGGCAAAATTTTTATGTAATCTGTCCCCCAAGGAGTTAATAAAACTCAATTTCTTTTTAGTAAAAGAAACGAATTCAGAATTTAGTCTCAACTTAAATGTAAATGTGGTTTAGGAATGACACAGTAATACCACTTTGCATTTCTTAAGTTAGCCTGCTCTTTCTACACTGGATAAAAATAAAGAAAAGAAAGCATCTAAAACAGAACCGCCCTATTACAACCCAAATTTGCCCATGAAAGCAGAAATTTTCTGGCCTGCATCTATGCGTTTTTTCCACTTTCCGTAGCCTCCCACACTATAATGACTTATGCATGGAATTCAGGGACTTTATATTTTCTTTTGAGTGCAAAATGAATGCCAACATGGAAAATGTGCATGCTGACCATTTTCAAATGGTCACAGGCCTTTGAGAGAACCAGATAGTATCCAGAAAGATATTTGGTCAGGCTAGGGTACCAAATTCTAGTACATTCCTTAATAAGTCTGCTGGTCTTCACAGGATGGGAATATTTACCTTTCTGGCAAGTGCTTAGTCAGAATAGCTTGAAGTTTTTGGTAGGGACTCAGAATCCTTTTCAATAGACTGAAGTGACCCAAAACCAGCGTAGTAGTTAATCTTGTTTATGGATGAAATCGATAAGCCAATCCATGTTATGTGCTGACAGTTCTTGTGTGGAGGAAAAACTAGAAGTGTCTAATTTTTGAATGGGATTTTTCTTTTATGGTCCAATAATTTGGTTTCATTTTGGGGCAACATTTGGATTAGTCATTTTTGCAAAGTTCAGTTTACATTGGTATAATCTGTTTCCTTGAACTAAGGGGTTTGAATAGTTCAAGGCAAAAAGGAGATGGAAACCTGGAATGTATTTATATTCTACCCTATCTTATGCCTGGTTTTCTGGCTTACTGAAATTTTTATGGCTAAAGTCTAATAGAAGTATACAAACGAAACTCCTTAGAAGCCAAAAAGAAAGAGACCGAAGTTTCTGAAGAATTGTACCCATTGTTTTATCACACTCACATCTTCTTTTTGGTTCTCTGAGTTCCTGCCTGAGGAGTTTAGATTTTATACACACTAAATGTATGTGGAGGGAAGGGGTCCAGGTAGAATCTCATGCCATGGAGACAGTAAAGTTTGTTGGCTATCTAAATTTGGGCCTTAGAACCTGGGCCTAGTGTAAATCCTGGCGTGCTTCCTGGATGTATTACCTTGGGCAAGTTATTTAACGTCTCAACAAAATGAGCTTGCCACCTAGTAGTAGCAGTAATAGCATGACTGTAAATGTATTTGTCCTAAGGCATGGCCAGTGGTTTGTGTTCCATTTTCTTATGAATTATGTGTTAATAGGAGCTAAACCAGATTATTCCATGTTTCTTAGTCTCTCCCTGGAGTAAATACATCCTGGTAGTTTGGCCTCTGTATTAGCTCTTTCACAGACTAGTCCATTACACATGCTGTCTCTGTAGCTCACATTTTGCATGAGCAGCTCCTGGTGGCCATTGCTGCAATTCAAACCGAGCAACAAATAGATTTCTGTAAGAACTTGGGTTCACAAAAGTAAAGCAGGAAAGTATGTAAGCTAGAGTAACAAGTTTCTTCTGGTGATTTCTATTAAGTACTGCAAGGCAAATATGTTCTTAATGGAGTGTCAAACACTCAGGACTTACGTCTTCATTCATTAATAGGTCAGTCGATCCACCTGCCTTTCAAATGCTGTCAACGTTTTTTGACCAGAAATATTACATGTGAAGTTTTCTTCTAATATTAGGCTACTTCTTAAAGAAATAACATCATTAAATCTATTGAAAGAAGCTTTGTAAATTCCCTTACTTAATCTTTCCTAGCACAGATTAAGCGCTCTCTTTTCCAAGACACATTTTGACTCTAGAATGATTATCCTAAACTGTATATAAATTTTTAATTTTTTTTCATAGGTGGCAAAATGATAAAATTCACTCTCTTCTTCAGTCCGCGCATATGACGTAATGTCTCCTCAAGTTCCATCTCCTTCAGCGTCACATGGAACGTATCTCTCAGTCTGTTGTCAAACTACGATGACATGTCTGTAGCTATCAGAAAGAGAAGCTGGGAAGAACATGTGACCCAATGGATGGGGCAGCCTTTTAATTCTGATGATTGTAACCCAGCATGCCATCATGGACTAGTAGCTGACAGCTCCCAGGCAAGTATGGAAAAAGATGCAACTTTAAATGTGGATCGCAAAGAGAAGTGTGTTTCACTGCCAGACTGCTGCCATGGCTCAGAGCTGAGAGACTTTCCTGGGAGGCAAATGGGTCACATTTCAAAGGAGGTGGATGAAAATGACAGCCCCGAAGGTGAAGATCAGTTTCTTTCTCTGGAGGCCAGCACGGAAACACTAGTGCACGTGTCTGATGAGGATACCGATCCCGATCCCTATATTACAGATGATAAACAAATTTTAACTACGCAAGGACATAAGATACCAGACCAACATACTATCAGAGGAGCAGGCTCCTTAGTAAAGACACTGCCCGTCATGGAAGGTAACCAAAGTAACTCCTGGAGAATGGCTGGCGGAGCTGACTTGGCACTGGTAGAAGAAAAGAGGGGGAAAAAACCTGTTGACACTACAAGTAAAAGCCTGGAGCTTTGTAATGATATAAGCTTAAGTGAAGTAAAAGATGCATCCCAAACAAATGCATGTGACTCTTCACATGTGAAAGATATTGTGCCTGAGAAGCAATTGCTTAATTCGGCTGTAATTGCTCAGCAACGAAGAAAACTTGACTTCCCTAAAGATGAACATGAAAGAAACACCTGCGGTGTAGTACAGGATGAGTTCTTGGCTATTCCTCACAAGGGCAGAGGACTGCCATTATTAAAAGCAGATTCTGGAAGCTGCCTTCTGCAACCTCCTTCCTGCCCTGATGGAATGTCAGCTGAAAATGGCCTAGAGAAGAGTGGTTTCTTAGAACATCAAAACAAATGTCTTCCAAAGGTCAACTCAGAAGATGGCATGCAGTGTTTACACTTAAAGGAGACTCTGGCCACCCAGGAACCCACAGATAATCCGGTCAGACTTCGCAAAAGAAAGGTAAGGCACATGAACAGATTATCTGGTTTTTGGAATTTTATAAATATCCTTGTTTCTATCACTTATTATTTTGCTAGGATTAAAGAGATATGTAGATGTTTCTTTTGCCCTATAGTGTAGCTGTATAACTCAAGGATTATCTTCTTGGGGGAAACATCAGAATATGTAAAAATTAGAATATAATAACCTATTCATTTCACTAATAGTATTTATCATAGTTTGTGAACTATGCTCTTTGGAATTGTGTTGAAGACAGAATTGGTTTCACTTTCCTTAGTTGGAATTAAATAGCCACCAGATAGCTCATAGTTCAAGGCCTAGCTGATGAGTGTTCTCTAATTTTTAGAAAGAAAGTAATAATTCTTTATTTAATGTCAGTTATTTGGACTTATTTCTTTTGCCCTTCAAAAAGTATATTTTATCATAATTAAAGTGGTATGAATCACACATTAAAAATGACCCCTTTACATCTCCAAAGACAACAGTATGCCCTACCCCCAAATATGTTTATAAAAATAATACCCTGGCACATTTGCTATCATTAGGTGTATCAACTTTAATTCTGAACCAAAAAGAACCAATAGGTGAAATTACTTTTTATGGTGAGTCTCCTTTAACTACTCCTGTAGATGCCACAATCCCCGTAGAAGTTTCCAAGTGAGAGAAGCAAAGATTGGAGTGGAGTTATTTGAAGCATGGCTTAGCTAGTAGACTCTTGGCCAAAATTTGTCTTATCTTTAGGATTTTCCCCAAATTCTTCCCACAATGTAGTGGTTTACTATCCTGATGTAAATACAAATATAATTTCTTCTATAAATGCAACGTGGTCATTGGCATTGAAAACTCCCTGTGGACTGGACAACATCTTTCCTCCTCTTTTGATATAATATTAATCTATAATGGCACTTCTCGTCATACAAAACCAATGTTCAACTGGACTATGTACAATGAGGAAAGAAAACAGTCTCTAACTCTTTGTGGGGGAAAAAAAGAAAAAAGAAAAAACAAAGTCCGGTTTCCATAAACTGTGGTTTTGCTAACAAACTAGATCAGTAACGTGTCATAAATTAGTTTAAATGAAGTCAAAGACTTGACAGCCAACGATCAGTATGCTCAAACTCTATGACAACAGAGCATTCTGTGTTTCTGGCAAACTCTTCTTTCTTTATACATCGCATTGAAATATTAATGCTGCATAAATTTGTTATGATTGGCATGCTCAGGTCACTTTTCCAGAAATGTCCTATATCCTATCAAATCTGCTGGGAATGCGATAATGACATAAGAAATTATTAATCGACCTATGACATAGCTCCCCTAAAATAAGACAAACCCTGCCCAACTGCTGACAAACATTAAACATTCCAGAAACATACGCTCACCACTTGGACATTTATATCAATAGTAAGAATGCTGGAAAGAATTTTCTCTTGGACATGTCACTATAGCATGGTTACATTAGGAGAGATGTAATTATAACCTATTTACAAGTTCTAACTTAAATATTCTATTTTAAGCATGTCATTATCCTAAAGTGTTATGGCGTCGTCTGGTGGAATATTTGCTTCGACTCTACAATTCCTTCGGGATGCTTTGTAATAAACAGATTAAATGCAAAATTTCAAGTTTGGACTTTACTCTGGAAGAGCATCATTATGGGAGAAACCTCTATAACCAAAGTCTGTAGGAATTTCTGTTCTGTTCGATAGTGAATGAGTATTAAAATGCCTTTGAATTGGCAATTTACCATTTTAGAGCTTTACCAAGGAAAATAGTAAGGCAAACTCATAAACGTGCAGAAACATTTATCATTGTATTTTATGTTACTGACAAAAAAAGAATGTAAATTTCCATCAATAAGGAATGCTTGGGGCGCCTGGGTGGCGCAGTCGGTTAAGCGTCCGACTTCAGCCAGGTCACAATCTCATGGTCCGTGAGTTCGAGCCCCGCGTCAGGCTCTGGGCTGATGGCTCGGAGCCTGGAGCCTGTTTCCGATTCTGTGTCTCCCTCTCTCTCTGCCCCTCCCCCGTTCATGCTCTGTCTCTCTCTGTCCCAAAAATAAATAAACATTGAAAAAAAAATTTTTTTAAAGATAGAGGGAGATCCATGTACACTAACTGAATGATCTCACGATACAGCACATCTGGCAAAAGGCAGGGGCAGACCTGGATGTGTAGCACATACCAACCTTATATGACAAAATGTGTATATTATAGATAAAAATATAAATACAAATAGGAACGGGGGTATAAACCCCCCTATGTGGTTAAGTAAGACTCTGCAAAATCCTGGCTATCTAGGCATAAAATTATTAATAGCAGTTATTTTGAAAGAATGGAATTAAAAGTATAGAAGCAGGGGATTTTCACCTTTTCCCCCATATAATTATTATAAAAGGTGTTAGAAATATGGATGAAATGCATGCAATGAACAGAAGTACAAAAGCAAAATAGTACTAGATATATAAAGTATTTGGAACATGTTCTGCATGGCACAAAATGACCTTTATATAGTTATTATGACTATCATTACTTCTATGAAATAGAAACAAGTATGTATAAAGTTTTTCAAAATGTCAACAAGAATTCTAGTCAACTACTCCATTCATAATACCAGTGCACATCATTTAAAACGATAAGCCTTTTGGGGAGACACACAAGCCACATTTTCATGTCTAAGGTGTTAGGGACCAGATGCGAAAAACAATTTGCTTAATTGTCTGTATCTTTGAAACTATTTGTCAGCCATGGTGACAGCTTTAAGATTAGTGCATGTAAAGGTGAAATAGAATATAAACTAATAAATTTTTAGAGAACTTTAATCAGCTTATTATCTGATGGTCATATGAGTGAGCCAAATCCTTCACTGAATTTATGAGCATAATTTTTTTTGGGGGGGGGTCAGGATATAATCAAGGTTCTAAGACTTGTAAAAAAAATAAAAGTCAAGTAGAGCTTCTAAGAGTAATCCTCAGAATGTACTGAAATGGCATTATACTAGAGATATAATTGTATGTTACATATACATTATCATTTCTTGACATCTATAAATCTTGGCGGGCATTCACTGTTTTGCATGCTGTATTTTTGTTGTTGTTGTTGCTTTCCAATGTTATCTCTGGCCATCCAAGGATGGCTACACATGTATTTATTAAGCATCCCAAGTGGAGAGGGCTACATTTGTAGTGTATATAAATATCAATCTTTTAGGCTAATAATTCTCCTAAATATGATGAAATATATAATTAAAGTGAAGCCGATGAAATCAAAGGAAAACCAAGTAGATTAGGAGCAGACATTATTAGCAAATGAGTCAGAAGGTCATGTGGCATATGACCAGCATTTATAGGGTGTGGGTAAGTCTTTGGGGTAAGGCAGCTGGTTCAGGGAAATTCTCAGAGACAAATTCCACAGAAATCTGGAGGAGGGAGACACTCTAAGAAGTGGTCTCTTTAAACCAAATGAGATGTGAAGATGGAAAATATGTAAGGAAAGGCTTGAGGTTAGACTTTTTTAAAGAACTAGTGTATTTGTTCTTGATGGTGGTTAGCTAATTAAAGAGAGTCCAACATTTAGTCTTCTCTAGAGACTATTTAAATAGTTCCCAAAGTTTTGCATAGCCGTAATAGTTATATAAATGTATGAACATAGTTTTATTTGCTCACACAAAATATAATCCATATTACAAAGTGATATAAACTCCAGAATATAATGCAAAAATGATCTGAACCTTGAGAAGACACCTGATTCCACATTCGAACAAAAATCTCACGTCCGAGCCAGTAAACTAAACTGTATGATTTTTGCTGTAGTTTTGACGGCTGTCATAGAAAACCAGCATAAAAGTGGCTTAAATCTAACATCTTTTTCTCACATACACATAATAATTGGGTATAAACAGTACTGGACCAATATGTAGCCTCTATGTTTTCACAGCCCCAGACCCTTTCCATCTAACTGTTCTACCGCCTTGAGCCCTTATTGAGAGTCAAGTCGGTGGGAAAAGGAGGGAGTGCAGGGGTGGCCACAGTCCCGTGCATGGCAGGACCCAGAAGGTGCACACTTCTTTTTCTCCCACATTTCATGTGCTAGAGTTTAGTTACATGGGCATACCTAGCAATAAGGGCTGAGAAACGGAGTCTGCATTCTGGTAAGCAGGCGTCTGCTAAAAATTCTATTATCAAAGAATAAGGAGAAATTGTATATTATCACCCATACCATTAAATATGTTGAGGAACAACACTCTAACAAATTTATTCCAGTACATCATGGCCTGTGGTGAAAGGAATAAACAGGCTGCTGTATGTTAGGTGGTGTTTTGTATACGTACTTAATTTCACACTACAGAATGCCTTTCTGTGTTAGGAAACTTTTCAAAGTGATGTTGATCAAATGCTACACTTTGTTAATGGAAAACTCCCAGCAATGAAACATTATACTGCATATACTGTACTTTATCCCTGGACAAGTGTCCTATATTAATTAGACATGACTGATAAAATCAAGTCTTTTCTCCTTACCCTATCTCTAACATATGTATAAATTCAGTAAAAGCACACTTCTACTTGAAACGACCTTCTCATTCCTTTCTATGACCTTCTTGTTTTTTCCTGTCTCCTGACTGCCATTGTGGGAGCCTTGTAGCATGAGGAGGCTGTCATTGACCAATGGGTGACATAAAGAACAGTGTAAATCATGGAAAAGATAGAATGGGCCAAGATAGGAAGCCAGCTGGAAGAATACAAAAGGGAAGGAAAAAAATTGTCTAAGAAATAAAAAACAAAAGGATGGTTAAGCCAAAACCCCCAGATATGTTGAATGAAAGCAGGGACTAGTGGAAGAATTAGACTTTGTTAAGAAGCCTACTATTATTTGACAAAAAGGAAGGAATACAAAGCAGAGTAAGTATATGTACCCCTGCAGATAGATTCATAATAACAGTATGATTTTATACTGAGTTCCCAGGGTTTTGAAACAGATAATCCTGTTGAGTAGATTATA